ATGGAATAGAATAGAATAGAATAGAATAGAATAGAATAGAATAGAATAGAAACAAACATGGAATGGAATGGAATGGAATAGAATAAAATATAGAATATAGAATCAGACAATGACAAATCACTTCCAAAATCTTGCCAAGGAAACTGCAGGGACATATCCAGACAATCTCTAAGAATCAAAACCTATTTGAAGCCCCCACCCCCACATACAAAGAAAAAAAAACCCTAAAACAAATTCGACCTGCGCTGAATGAGTATGGAACTGTCATTGTACTGAACGTGGAAACCTTTCTTGGTGTAATCTGAGCATCTTGAATTCTATCTGAAACATGCCAAGATAGATTCTTATTTGCAGATGTGACAGTACGGAAGGTGAGAGTAACGTTACATCCTACTTTTTCACATAACCCCCTCAAGGCTGTTAAGCTTATCAAAGCTTAACATAGCTTAAATAATGTGCCCTCAGGGTTGATGTCTAATTAGGGAAAATAAAAAATAAAAAAGAGAGCAAAATTTGGATTATCTTGTGTACATTTCATTGGAAGAATGGCAAAGATAGTTCCTTGTTGTGCATTGAGCTGCTGCTATGCTAAGATACTGATGTGAAAATTCTCTCCTCCCCTAGGTTGATGGGAATATCAGCAAGATTTATTGCCAAAACCTTTGCTTGTTAGCAAAGCTCTTTCTTGACCACAAAACCTTATACTATGATGTTGAGCCATTCCTTTTCTATGTTCTTACCAAGAATGATGAGAAAGGGTGCCACTTAGTTGGATACTTCTCTAAGGTAAAAGTTTGATCTTACTGTTATCAGAGTGTCTTGCTTTTTAGGCAGAATGTTTTGTTGGGAAACCACATTTCAAATGGGAAGGAACACATTTTTTTTTCTGTTTGAAAATAATGATGCCATTATCCTTTTACAAAAGTGTTCTGAAGACATTGGATTTAGGTCAAACATATGATGCACAGATCCTTTCAAATCACCCATGTTTGCAGCAGAACCTGACAGTGCAATAATAGTTGTGTCAGAGTGTTCGCAGCTTGACTGCTATTGTGAGACAAGCCAGGAGCAAAACACAGCACACAGAGACTTAGACATTTAACAGTGGTTTATATACAGCAGTTATATATAGACCTATACGTGGTAGGCAAATACCTTATAAGTAAGCAAACTTCTTAATTTTTACACATGGAGAACTCTGCAATGAATACTGGATACAAGGAGAGAGAACCACGCCTTCTAATGGCTGCCTTTTTAAAACACCTCTTAAAGGGGTAGAACCCATCCCCACTCTTAAAGGGAAATAGCCCTGTTATGCTAAATCACCATTTCATCAGCTTAACCTTGCATCAGACTTACAGCATCTGGCAGCTATTACTGCTGCTGCTCAGCTCTTAAATCTTAATATCTCAACAGAGGTGCTGCCTTCGGCCATTTAATTCTTCCTTACTTTACTGAGTTGCACATGACATATAATTTGTCACACTCACATAGTATGTTCAATCAGAAAGGGGATAAAATTATTCAAAATAAATAAATAAAGTAACTGGGTTTTGTAATCCTACAATCTAAGACCAGATTTAAGGGCTACGTTTTGTGAAATGTAGCTCTTTCAAAACCCAAGAATTGCTATGGATCCAGAAATGATATATATATATATATTTTGCCGCCGCCTGCCTATTTACACCTCCTTTTCCAGCCTCCCACTCATGTTCTTCTTTCTTTCAGGCTCAGATGAAGTGGATGCAGTGTGTGGGACCAGCAAAGTTGCCCCAGATTATCCCTGGTCCGGCATTGCCTTACGAAGTGTCTGAGCCTTACTCTATTGCTAAAGGAGTCGTGCTGTGAGTTGACCCATAGCTGTTTGTTGCTTAGATTTGTAGTTAGCAGGATGGGTTCAACGAGAGGGAGGGCATTCTCTTCTAGCACTCTTCTTCACCTGTTTGCTGATTGGCCAGGAGTGACCGCAGGGGGAGCACTCCAAAAGTCAAGATTTCAGCCCGACGGTGTGATTGAAGTACGTACAACAGGTTGGAAACTTTGATCGCACAAGCGCTGCTGCTTCTTGATTTCCTCGCTCCCTTCCCGTCCGGACGCCCCTGGCAGAGATGATTTCTTTTCTTCTTTTTTTTAAAAAAAAAACTTCATAAAGTGTTTGCCCTCCCTTGCTCTACCTGAAAACATTCCAGGGTGTTTTATAGAGTACAGTACAAAGATGTACCTGTTTTGCGTGGCAGAATAGCAAGGCTGGATTTTATTTGAGTTTCCAGGAAATCTGAAGCGAGAAGTGCAAAAAAAATAAGGAATAAGTCGCCCTAATATGAGATTCCTGCCAGCAGTTTAGGCTGAAAGATATCAGCGGTTGGCTTAGCAGGAGATGCTCGGTGAGAATTAAGCAGACTGGATGTTACAAAAAAACAATGAGGGGAATAAGACTTTGCCCAAAATGGTGTCTTCTCAATAGCAGAAAAGACACGTGGATCAAGGTGGTTGAACATAAATTTTTTTTGATGTGGTATTTTCTATCAAGTCCCTGATATAAAGAGGGGACTTCAAGAGAAGACAAGCTGTTGGCGTACAACGGTACAGAAACATAAATACAGGTAGTCCTTGACTCACTGAGTGACTGCTCAAAGTTACAGCAGCACTGAAAAAAGTGACTTGCAATCACACGGTCCAACATTGGGCACCTGGTATCTAGCATGTATAAATTTTATATATTTATAAAGGTTGCAGTGTCCCAGGGTCATATGACTGCACATGTGATGACCCAGGGTGTGACACAACAATAACAAAGTCACAAAAGTACAATAAATTCTCTTTAATGCCTCCAATTTGGCCCCAATGTCCAATTATCCTCGGCTGGATAACAAACTCTTTAAAAAACAGACTATGAAGGGCAGAAATGCAGTCTGAACCCAAAGTAAAGATAATTTGAAATTTAAAAAACCCAACACAAACCACACTGAAGTAATTAACACGGCAGGCCAGGATGATAAATTGCAGACTTTCAAAGGATAACACAGCACCCACAGTTGGGAGGACACCAAACTCCAGATAAGTCTCGACCAAGATAATACACGCTTTGCTTCCAGCAAGGAGCTGTGTGCAAACGCCCCACTTATATCCTGTTCTCTCAGCTGCAACCAATGAAAGGGATCAGGGCCTTCTTCTCTCTCGCAAGCCATGTTGTTCCCTTCTCCGTTCCTCCCTGCGTGCCCTAGGATGAAGAGGGGATGGCCCTGGGTCTTCCTCTGAATGCCCAGCCAGACTGTGACCTTCCCCCATGTCTTCCACAGCCACCAGAGCCACACTCCCACCCCCTGTCAGCTGCTCAATTTCCCCCTCAGAATCAGACTCCAAAACAAGGGCATGACAGCACAATTGAGACCTTCCCAATTGTCTTCTGGCAAGCAAAGCCAATGGGGGAAGCAGAATTTATCTAACCACCCCTCCCGTTCATTTCACAATAGCTATGATTCCCTTAGCAAAACAGATCGTACAATGGGGGTGCAACTCACTTAACACACAACTGCCTTGCTCAATGGTCTCAGTTTTGCTCCTAAGTCCAGGACTACCTGTAATAAAAACCAGCCACTCTTGCTGAAAACCAGTGTGATCCCCACAAATTAAAAGGCACTATAGCTTGGTGCCTCTTAATATTTTTCCAAAGAAAAGACTAAAATATTCCAAAGAAACGGATTGATTTCAAACCTTGCTTGGACTTTTTTTTTCTTTTTTCTTTTTTTTGAAGACTGGACAGTCACCTGTCTGAAATGGTATAGGATCTCCTGCTTGGAGCAGGGAGCTGGACTAGAAGACCTCCAAGGTCCCTTCCAGCTCGATTCCAATTCATTGCGGACACCTTCATGGTGGTGCTAAGAGGTCAGGCTACAGGTTGTAGCCCATCAAAACCTGCAGTATGAGACTCAGCTCTGCTGCACTGGATGAGTCTCTACAGTTTTTAACCCATCTTGCTGGCTACTGATTTAAGCAACAGCTCAATAGGATTCAGGGTATATACTTGGCTTCTCTGCTCGTCCCAGGCACTCCAACCTTACATCTGGATTTGCCCCTAAAAGGAGAGGGAAAAATGTGGCTTATATGAAGGGTAAGTTGTAAGTAAGCACAGATGATGACACTGTACGTAATTGTCCCTCGTTGCGGGACGCATCTGCAGGCGCTCTTTTTTTCTGGCTTGGTGGGACTTGGATCAATTTAGCTTTGTACCTGGTCTTAACTGGGTCCGTTTCTTAAAACGCTTCACTTTGAAATGGAAATGGAGCCAGGCCGCGATGGCATTCTCTCCCAATGTTTGCGTACTTGCTTTCCATATGGGGCATGGGATAGCTGAAGCCACACCATCACTTGGATTGCGTTTCAATATGTGCACCATCGCTTTTTCCTCTTCCAGTGAAAATACTCGAGTATCGTCATACTGTATTTTGCTAATAAAGACGAACAGAAATAATAATAACAACAACAACAATAATAGTGGTGCAAATTAATATTTAATTGATCAGAAATGATAAGGGTGTAAATTGAAAGATTGGGATTTTAACTTATGCAGAAAGCTCCTTTTTCCTGAGTTATGGGTGAAAACCCCCTGCTATAATTTCTCATGAAAAATGTCCATTACAGGAGGAAGTGTTCCAATATGCACTGAAAGAAATTGCACTGGAATGGAAAAAAATTAGCACTATAGGGTAGGTAAAAGGGACCTGTGTAGCGCCAGTGTGCCTTCAGATGTTGCTCTTGGTATTCAAAGCATTGCCTGGCATTCTTTTCTTTTTTTTAAATAGTATTTCAATTGAAAACTGCAAGCTGGCATACTTTTCTAACCATTTTTATTTACATAAATGCCCCTGGGCCTCCAGATAAGACACTCAAGATTGAAAAAGAAGTATTAGAAAACTACAGGTCAGTGCTTGGTTTAGGACTGTATCCATTTGATCCACTAAGATTCAGAGCCGTGGTGGCACAGTGGTGAGAATGCAGTACTGCAGGCTACTTCTGCTGACTGCCGGCGGCCTGCAGTTTGACAGTTCGAATCTCGACAGGCTCAAGGTTGACTCAGCCTTACCTCCTTCCGAGGTGGGTAAAATGAGGACCCAAAATCGTTGGGGGCAATAGGCTGGCTCTGTAAACCGCTTAGAGAGGGCTGTAAAAAGCACCGTGAAGCAGTATATAAGTCTTAAGTGCTGTTGCTATTGCTATCCAGAATTGTGGGGAAGAATACCGCTAAGCAAGATAGTGGAAGAGCTGGGGCCAAGAAGCTCCAACCTTGGCAAGTTCAAGACTTGTGGATTTCAACTCCCAGAATTCCTCAGCCAGACATGCCGGGTGTTGAAGTCTTGAAGTTGCCACATTTAGAGGGCCTTGCACTAGCCAAAAGTGAACTCCTGCCCCAAAATATGGGATTGGGAATTTAGCTACCCATTGCTATAATGCAGTGGTGAGATTTGAATCACTTAACAACCGGTCCTCTGGCTGGGTAGGCATGGCCAATTGGTCATATGACTGGATGGGTGACATCACTCATCATGCCCAGCCCCGCCTCCTGGCCACTCGCCTTAAAGGTAGAGGTAGGATTTGGCCGGTTGGGGCTAATCCTACCATTGGCTGGCAGAATCTTAACTACCGGTTTGGCTGAACCGGTGTGAACCGGCAGCAGCTCACCTCTGCTATAATGTCCTCCAGGCTGACCTACATGAGGTGACAAGCAGCTGCAATTCCAAAACATGCATTTCTTTTCAATGCAGGAGGCTATATTTAGGAGTAAGGTGCTTTTTTCCTATCTTCTACTGAGCGATTTACCACTCAGAGACAAAAATGGTGTGTGGGCGACTTCTCTTTCTTGCAAAACCCATCACCCGCCCAATTTTGCACAAATTCTCGAGCCCTGAGCAGGATCTCCCAAAAGCATTAGAATCTCTTTGGGGTTACCTAGAGTTCCCTCCGTTGCTTTGGGAAACTGAGTTCTGCGGCCCTGCATTATTCCTCGCGCCTGAATGAAACAGCATGAAGCAAAAGAAGGCATAGACCAGGGGTCGCCAACCACTGGGCTGAGGACCGGTACCGGTCCGTGGAACATTTCCTACCAGGCCACCGGTTTGCTGGGTGCTGCCATCTTGTTTGACGAGAAAGTGATTCCGGATGAGCTTTTCCGGTTGGAAAGCGGCGTTTGGGTCCTGAAGGAATCCTTGCACCTTAGTTTCATCGAAGGGGGGGCTTCAAACGAAACTAAGGTGCGAGGATTCTTTCAGCACCCAAGGCAAGGCGAGCCAAGCGACCGTCCCGAAGCCGTCCCGAAGTGAAGCCCATCGACAAAGGTACAAAGGAGGAGTTGAAGGTGGCAGGGAGAAGCGGGGGATGGCTGGCTGGCCAGTCGCTTGGCTCGCCTTGCCTTGTCATGCGTGCTGATGCCGGTACCGGGCCGCGGATCATTTTGTGATGCCGGTACCGGGCCGTGGCACAAAAAAGGTTGGGGGCCACTGGCATAGACAACCAGAAGTTACTAAATGTCTGCTTTGCTTTTTCTGCATTTCTCAACCTACAACAACTTTAAAGATGTGTGGACTTCAATTCCCAGAATTCCTCAACCAACATGCTGGGGAATTCTGGGAGTTGAAGTCCACATATTGGAGAAATGCTGGATTAGATAACTGTTCTGCTTTCCAAATCCCTCCCCTCTTCTTTGGCTTGGCTGCTTCCAGCTTCTTTTCCCAATTGTTAGAAGTCTGACAGAAGGACCAGCTGTTCAATAGAATAAATAGATTCTTAACATCTGATTTAAAAAAACATATCCTGAGCAAATCTTGATGAAATTTAGTTTGTTTGTTATCTATTCAAACCACCAGTTTATTTAACGGGTTTCTAATTTTCATTTTATCTGCTTCGGAGTACATCAGATAGATCCTCTGGGCGATTTTCTTCCATCACTTACATTAATTAATTTATTTCTTTACTATTTTCATTCCTTTTAAAATTTTAGACTCTAATAGCTTTTTTGTTTAACTGCTTTGTTGATATTCTGAGCATTGTACTTGCATTTTATATAGATCCACATATGAAGGAAATCCTCGATGTACAACAGTTCATTTAGTGACTATTCAAAGTTACAATGGCACTGAAAAAAGTGACTCATGACCATTTTTCACACTTAAACCATTGCAGCCTTCCCATGGTCACATGATCAAAATTCAGATGCCGTGGCAACCGACTCATATTTATGACGGTTGAAGAATCCCGGGGTCGTATGATCATCTTTTGCTACCTCCTTACAAGCAAATTCAATTGGGGAAGCCAAATCCATTTAACAACTGTATTACTAATTTAATAATTATGATTCACTTACTGTAACAACTGTGAAAGGAAAGGTTGTAAAATGGGACAAAATTCACTTAACAAATGTTTCACTTAGCAACAGAAATATTGGGCTCAATTGGGGTCATAGGTCAAGGACTATCTCTCTATATGTAGATCGATATATCTAATTAAATAGATAATGAACAATAAAGAAACAAACGTCTCTTTATGGATAAGATATTGTGGGGGAATTAAAAGTGAACTCAAGTATAATACCATCTAATTTTAACAACCTCGTAATCGCTTATGGGTTGGATTCTGGGCAACTGAATGGAGCTAGCGGAGCGTTTCAATGGCCAGATGCCCTTCCTGTTGCCAATGCGGAGTTTTGTTCAGCAGATATAATCTCAGTGTGCCCAGAGAGAGAAATATTTGCCTCTGTCTACGATTGAACCCTGAAAGTAAATCCTAGCTTGATTTTTACACCTGTTCCCAATATAAGCCCCACCCTCTCCCCCAAATAAGCCCAAATTAAGATCCCTCCCACTCCAGAGTATCCGGGTAAAAATTAAGCTAGGGTGGGGGTGGGGTGGGTAGAGCTGCCCTACCATTTACCTTGTATCCAGGCCTCACACACCCCGACACCTGTCTTGCTGGCCCATTTCTTTTGCAGCTGGCAAAGCTGGCAAGGCTTTCCTGAAGGCCCCTGTAGATCGATCCGGAGCTCCATTATCGGCTGCAGAGGCCTTCAGGAAAGCCTTGCCAACCTCAGAAGAAGAAATTCCTGAAGGCCTCTGACAGCGAAAAGGAGGCCAGAGGTGACACACGCAAGTGAAGTTAGTCAGTGGATGACATCCCCCCAAAATAAGACCTGATGCCTTTTGTGGTGGCAAAAAAAGTATAAGACAGGGTCTTATTTTCAGAGAAACGTGGTAGTAAGATATTCCCTTGAACCAACCTTTCTTTACCCTGGCTTCGATCACATGGTAAGGACAGTGCTGTCTTAGCACCATGGAACATTCTGTCCAGTTCTTAATCCATAAAACATGTAATCTTTCCAGATTTGGTCTACTTTTGCCCCCATTCTGCTTTCTGAGGCATAGCGTAATCTCAGTTTTGATCGTTACGATATTTTCAGCCGTTTCTCCCGTCTTTCCTCTTTTCCCAGGAAAAGCTCTGCCAGCAGAAGTATAACGTCTCCTGCATCATGATCATGCCCCAGTACCAAAGGCAAGGATTTGGGAGGTTTCTCATTGATTTCAGTAAGTGAACCGAGTGCATCCGTGAATTTGGGGAGTGGGTATTACGGTGGAAAACCAGTGAGAGCAACGGTGCTTTTCTGTGGATAGACCACGGGTTTTCTGTACCTAATTGCATCCGGGCAGCATAAGTCCATGAAAAGAAACATCTAGTCTTATGATATATCTGAAGACGCAAACTCTCTCTCTCTGTTCACAAAGATATTAGCTCTCGGTGTTGTCAGATTGAGCGAATTGCCTAAATTGCATTCCTTTCGCGCTGTTCCCTAATACGGAGAGAAGCCGTGATTTGTCATTAAAGTAAGAAGGTAATTTAGGGCCTTCTTCCATGCCTAGATTTCTCTTTAGTGCCAAGTGCATTTTAGTTGAGCAGCACTTAAAATGGAGCATAACGTTTTAGGCTTTTGTTCCTTTCAAAAATGTAATTGTCTCAGGTCTGAAAGTGACAATACTTCTTGGAGCACGCAGTAAAAAAAAACCGGTATTAATTTTTTTAAAAAAATAACGCATGGCGTATTTTGAACAGCTCAAAATATTACCTCCATTGCTTCCGTATAGGTTTTTTTTTATTTTTATCAAAAGGTAAGAAAACAAAATGGAACCAATAAACAGACTTAATTTTGCCTTATCCCTAAGAAAAGACAAGGACAGGGTCTGTTCATGCATTTTATTCTCGGGGGGGCGGGCAGGTGGCGTAGGAGGGAGATGGTCCTCCATAGTGTATGTAATCAGGAGTGGGATTCTACAGGTTCGGCCAAACCGGTAGCTTCAAAGATCATCTGGTAGAGAACCGGTTCGCTCTGATGATCAGCTGCTGGGCTCACCCACCCGCTCCGGCTCCATACTGACCCTTATTTCCTGCTTATCACGTTCAGCTGTATTGCGCGGCACAGCCGATTGCCACGTGTCAGCTGTTGAAGAGACAGGGAGAGTGCAGGAGAAGGTCAGTAGGAATGCCTTTGCGTGCGCCCAAAGCGCCTGGGCGCATGGCAAAACACGCCCACCAAGCCACGCCCACCGAACCGGTGGTAAACCAATTTGAATCCCATCATTGTATGTCATGCTGGTCAGTATTAGAAATAGGACGCTCCAGACCGCCAGAAAGAAGCCACAGATGGGGAGATGAGTTCAAGGCAGAGGCACGATCTCCCAAGAGGGTTATGGTCCTGTCCCTTCCTGTCCCACCACGCCCATCCATCGTAGCATAAAACAAAACCTCTGCAGTTCATTTAACTGTTGTAACTGTTCAAAGTTACAACCGCACTGAAAAAAAAGTGACTTATGGCCGTTTTTCACAGTTAACGACTTTCATAGCATGGGTTTGGGTTTGGCTAGTCTAGAGAAAAGAAGGACTAGCGGGGACATGATAGCAGTGTCCCAGTATTTGAGGGGCTGCCCCAAAGAAGAGGGAGTCAAATTATTTTCCAAAGCAGCAGAGGGCAGGACAAGAAACAATGGCTGGAAACTAATCAAAGAGAGAAGGAATCTGGAATGAAGCAGAAACTTCCTTACAGTGAGGACAATTAGCCAGTGGAACAGCTTTGCCTCCAAAGCGGTGGTGGGATTCAAAATTTTTAATACCGGTTCTGTGGGTGTAGTTTGGTAGGTGTGGCTTGGTGGGTGTGGCAGGGGGAGGATACTGCAAAATCCCCATTCCCTCCCCACCCCACTAATCTGCTTTCCAGCTCTGTTCTCCTGTGCAGGGCAACCAAAGAAGAGCCAGCTGGGACTCAAAGGGAGGCAGAGAATAGATGGGGGCGGGGCCAGTCAGAGGTGGGATTGGCCGGTTCTCCGAACTACTCCAAATTTCCGCTACTGGTTCTCCAGAACTGGTCAGAACCGGCTGAATCCCACCTCTGTTCCAAAGTATTCTGAACTGGCATTGTACATTATAATGGCTGCAAAGATGCTCGGTGCTTCCTACTGGAAAGTATGTTTAGTTGCCCCTGTGGAAAACTGACTGATTACGGGAGGAGGCTTCTGTGTCCAGAATAACCTCATATCTCAAAATAAAATTGGATGCAGAGTTTAATTTAATTTTGAAACCTTGAATTCAATTTGGAAAGCTTTGCGGGTTATATTTCTCTATATAGGGCCAGTTTGTTTTAGTGCAAACTCACGTCGCCATGGCGGCGTCACTTGACATATCAGGACTTTTTTCCCCTGGCATGAGCATGGCCAGCGTGTGACGCATCCGGCCCACAGGCCAGAAGTTTCACAGCCCTGGTCTAGTGGTTAAGATGCTGGCCTAGCAACTGGGAGACCATGAGTTCTAGTTCTGCCTAAGTCCTGAAAGACAACAAGGTGACTTGAGGCCAATCATTCTTTCTCAAGCCTAAGTCACCTCACAGGGTTGTTTTTATGGGGAGAAGCAGAGGTGATATTCAGCCGGTTTGGACCGGTTCTGGCGTACTGTTAGTGGAAATTTTGAGTAGTTTGGAGAACCGGAAAATACCATTTCTGGCTGGCCCTGCCTACCTGCCTGCCCTTTCCTGTCCTATATTCCCTTTTTTTAAAAAGCTCAGCTGATTCACACGGCAGAGCACATTGCCGTGCCTCAGTGGAGCTAAAAAAAACAGCTCACCTCACTAGCGCTGACACAGAGGGCGGTTTTTGAGTGCTGCGCGTGCACACGAAACACACTCTCATAGAACGGTAGGGAAAAGTGTGGAATCCCACCACCGGGGAGAAGAGGAGGAAGAAGGAGTGTTGTGTATTTACATTACCTTGAATTATGCAGTCTTGAAAGGCGGCATACAGATAGCAATAGACTTATATGTCACTTCACAGTGCTTTTCAGCCCTGTCTCAGCGGTTTTCAAAGTCAGTCACCGAGATCGGAGGTTTCGTCTTTGGAGCTTTGGGTCTCATGCTGGAGTTCATTCTCTGTACTGGAATATGCGCTTTGGGCTATTCCATACATAGTATTTATGTGGTGCCTGGTTCTGTGTGGCCCTCTAGCTGTTGATTGGGGTATTGATGGATGGCCGCTAAATCATTGGCTGTTCTTTCCCTTGTGCTGCCAAGTCCTCGGCTCCTAAGTACCTGATACGCTCATAGTAAATCAACAGGTAAGAGAGCTGTGGAAGTGATTGAAGCCTTGGAAACGGGCCCCTCCTCAGGCAACAGGAATAGCAATAGCACTTAGACTTATATACCACTTTATAGTGCTTTGCTGCCCTCTCTAAGCAGTTTACAGAGTCAGCCTCTTGCCCCCAATAATTTGGGTCCTCATTTGACCCACCTTGGAAGGATGGAAGGCTGAGTCAACCTTGAGCCTGGTGGGATTTGAACTGCCAAATTGTAGGCAGCTGGCTGCAGAAGTAGCTTGCAATACTGCACTCTAACCACTGCACCACAAAAGCTCCCAAATGCTGATTTACCACCAGCTTATCAGATATTTAGGAGGTGAGAACTTGCCAGCACAAGGGAAAAACAGCCAATCGCCTGGCCATCAACACATCAATCAACCAATAGGAAGGCACCACAGATCACAAGTTATGGTCATGTGATGTCTCACTTCACGCCCATGTTGCTGAGCAACAGCTTTGCTGGTCTCTATGGTGGCCATTAAGCAAGGGCTACCTGTACTGCAGTTGATACTAATACGTTACTTGGATTTTGACAATGAATTGTAGTTCTTTAAAAATTGTATTTAATTATTTAAAACCCAGTAATAAATGTTGAGAACTCTAGCCTAATTCTCTGCTGCTTGTCAATTCCCTGTTCACTTCAGGTTTTATCTTTCTGATTTTTTCCTCCTTTTATCTTTCATCCATCTTGTTTTCTCTCCCCCAACCCTCCCAAATGCTTAATTCAAGTCACATTTAATCACATTTAAAAAAGAAAGAAACTTGACATTTCTGGCACCTTAGAATTTCTTCTCTGTGATCTGTGTAATTGGAGAGAAGAAGGATATAAGCAAGACGTTTTTGTTTTGCATTAGTGGTGGTCATGAAAAAGAGATAGGTTGATAAAACCATATTGCTAATCACTTTCTTTCAGAATATTCATGTGTGACATTTTAGAAATTACAGAAAGGACTTGAGTGCTGCTAGAAAACTTAAAAAAAAAATCTTCTTAGAAAGTCTGCCGCCTCCTTCTAAATTGGAACCCAGCAGGGAACATCGTCAAAGAGTACTCAGGAACTGAATCAAAACAGCGGCTGACATTTCCCTTATGATGAAAAAAGGGGATGTTTGAAATGCAAAATATAAATTGGGAGAATGCTTAATACGGCCTCTAATTCCGATGAACCGGCTTACCTGTTGCTTCATCAAACTCAAGGTGAAGCAGCAGCTTCCAAGTCTCAGGAATGTTTTTATGAAGAGGCTGATTTCATAACATTACAGAATCGTAGGGTGGGAATGGGCTTTGAGATGTAGGAGATGAGTAGGTGGTGTCAAACACACCATAAGTTTGGAGTCTCTGCGCCCCCTTAAGAGATCTAAGTCCAACTCCCCTTAAAGTCCATTGTTAATTCAAAAGTACTACAAGTTTATTTCATGCTACCTATCCAGAAGACTCTGAAGGAATCGCCCTCGCACAGTGTTGGAAAAAGGATACTATACCATCAGAAGGTCTAGTAATCCAAAATATCTTAGATTGTGCAGAAATGGATAAACTCACCCTAGAGTTAAAAGGAAAGGAAGACTCGGAATATTATACGGTTTGGGAAAATTGGTATGAATGGATGGACAATAGGAATAAGAATAAGAACTGTAGAGATTCGAGGTGAATGGGCGACAGATAGGTAGCATGAAATAAACTTGTAGTACTTTTGAATTCTATTCTGGCTCTTGATTCCTGACTCCTTGCACCTGACATGAAAATCTTTTAGTCCAATTCAAGAATCCTTGTATCATCTTGTATAAATAATTGTCCAAACTTTGTTTGAACAACATAATTTTCTCCCTTTAACTAAAATTCTTAATTCCCCTCTTAATATCCATTTTTTAAAATTGTTTATAGGTTGTCCTTTGCTTATGACTTGGTTTAATGACA